TGCCAGTTGCGTCCGCCGCGGCCTCCGCGCATGGCAGATGATGCACTGGTGGTTGGTGTGCGCTTCGAGCCCAAAACAAATTATTTTGGGTATTTTGCAATATTTTGGGAATAAATATGTGTCTTAACAAGTAAAGTCACTTCGACTAACGGAAAAGTGGAAATGTATTGACAAAGCGTTGTCTAAAGAATGAGGCGACTTTTGTGTGTAGATTTTACTTTCTTGTTGCCAACTTTATCATCTAAAGTTCATCAAGTGTTGCCGCTGATCTCGCGTTCGTGAGTGGAACAGAACTCTCCTGTGGGTAAAGCGATCTTCGGACAGTTGCCATGGCAACACTTCTTGACTGTTGCAAGCAGAACGTGTGAGTCAGCAACGTCTTCCGATTGAAATGCAACTTTCTACGACGTACCACCGCCATGCGCCCAACACAGTCCGTAGCGCTTTCCCGGTTGTTCACACCAACTCACTCGGCACGAAACTTCTCCTTGGCTCTCATCATCAAGCTCACCAGTCCGCGCTGACGACGTGCCGCTCCAATGTTGTGCTTCACGTGAATTCCCGCTCGACTCCGTGGACGGGTCCGCGTTCTCCTGTTCTCCGTCCTCTTCAGACTCCGCGTCATACTCTACGTCCTGCCACTCGTGGTCGTCCTGGAAGTGTTCACGCTGTCGAGAAACCGCGTGATACGTGGCCACTTGTCTCCTTTCTTGCAGTGGCGGAAGGTCCCGAGTGTACTCGGTTCTCGGCTGCAGGCCATTGAATTGGCCCTCGGGTGCCAAGCGCGTGTTCACGCGGAGAGGTTGTACCGCGGCGCCGTAGCGCATTATCACGTCCTGTTGGCTGTCGCTGACTGCTGACTGCGAGACCCCAGCTCCATTATCTGCTCTGTTGCCTGCCAAGAAATTGTCACCTCAAGCACAAGACGCACCAGCAAAAAGTTTCGTTACCTGGTTGTCGCGACATATTATGGACTGGATGATCTCAAGCTCATTCGATCTTGCTGCATAGCTCACGCGGCCCCCAGACTTGCGTTTAGTATGCAGTTCTTTCGCGTTGCAACTTGCAAAAATCCACTCATTTGACAATTTGACAGGTTACTTTTTGTTTTGTCGAAGGAGTGTTGGTTATTGGCAACTCACACAGTCGGACACTTATATAATCCGCCCGTCTCAGCTTGTGGTTGGCAATATACAAACTATTGCCACGATTTTTTTTTTTTTCAGCCTATTCGCTCTTGGAGTCTCTAGCACCCTTCACCTCGAGATATGCCCACTTGATCCAAGGCAGCAGAGCCTCCAAGTCCTTGGTCTCCACCGTGGCGCCGCACCAGATACGCAGACCGGGCGGTGCGTCACGGTACGAGCCAATGTCGTACGCCACCTGCTCGCGCTCCAGCAGCGACTGCATCTGCTTCACCTCGTCCTTGGACAGACCGTCGATCAGCAGACACACGGACGTGTTGGAGCGGATTGCCTTGTCCTCCGCTAGGAACTTGAACCACCGCGAGTTCTCGGCTGCAAAGTCCTCCACCACCTTCAAGTTGCGCTGCGAGATGGCGATCAGGCCGTCCTGGCCGCCCACACTCTCCGTCCATCGCAGAGCGTCCAGGTAGTCCTCTACACACAGCATTGAGGGCGTGTTGATAGTACTGCCTTCAAAGATGCCCTTCAACAGCTTGCCCGTGCTGGCGTTAGTCATACGGAAGATCTTGGGGATCGGACGGTTCTCCGGCACGAACGACTCGAGACGTTCCACAGCGCGCGGGCTCAAAATGATGATACCGTGGCCACCTTCACCACCAAGCACCTTCTGCCAGCTGAACGTGCACACATCGATCTTGTTCCACGGCATCTCCATGGCAAACGCGGCCGAAGTCGCGTCGTTGAAGATCAAACCCTTGCGGTCGTCCGGGATCCAGTCGGCGTTGGGGACGCGCACTCCACTGGTTGTGCCGTTCCACGTGAACAGCACGTCGTGGTCGCAGTTCACCTGGGACAAGTCCGGGAGCTGGCCGAACGGCGCGCCGAACTCCCTGACGTTGTCAAGCTTCAGCTCCGTGGTAACGTCCTTGAACCACTGCTTGCCGAACGATTCCCAGTAGCACACATCCACGGGCCGTTCGCCAAGCATAGACCACATGGCCATCTCGAACGCACCAGTGTCTGAAGCCGGCACGATACCCAGATGATAATCTTCCGGGAGCTTCAGGATCTTCTTGGTACGAACAATAGCCTCCTCCAACAAGCCTTTACCCAACTTCGAGCGGTGACTACGACCCAGTACGATGTCGGGAATCGAAGCCAACGAGTACCCCGGACGCTTCTTGCAAGGTCCTGAGCCAAAGTTCGGCGACGCCGGCTTCACGCGCGGCTTCGGGTGACGCACAACTGCCACTCCTGCTTCTTCAGCAGCGTCGGCACCCTCCTCATCGGTAACGCTAGGCTTCAGGAACGTCTCCCAGATTCCACCAGATACAGCTGTGTTCAGCTCAAGCAGGTTGACACGACGTAGGTTCGTTAGCATACCCAGCGCCTCCAGCTCGTCCATCACAACGTCCGGGATCGCTTCATCCACGTTCAGTACGCTGACAGCAGCAGCAGTAGCTTTCTCACGCGCCAACCCGAAGTTGCCGATATTGATCTGGTGCTTCGCCAGCACCGACGTCACCTTGTGCAACACACCAGGTTGGTCTGTGTTGTTGAACAGCAGCATGGAGCCACTCGGGATGGCGTCCATGGGCAGGTCATCGAACGAAACAAAGCGGAGCTGGCTCTTGCCAAACACGGTGCCTGTGATCTTCTTGGACGTGCCGTTCTCCTTCTCAAAAATGACTGTAAGCTGGTCCGAGAAGCTGCTGCCCGAAGCCTCGTCGTGCTTGTGCTCTACAGTCTGGATACCCATGACGTCCGCGAGTTGCTTGGCGTTCGTGAACGTCACCTCCTCTTCGAGCATATGCGAGAGCAGACCCTTAAGTACACCCTTTACAAGCTGTCCCGACAGCTCCGACGACGTGACCTTGGGACCTTCAGCAATAACAAGCACGCGCTTGAGACGGCTGTCGTCCAGTAGCTGGGCCTGCATACTACCCAGCTTCTCAGCCAGTGACAACAGTGGCATGAACTCCTCGCGCTTGCCAAAGTCGATATTGGGCGCGTTAAGTACGCCCTTGAAAGACTTGCCGGCCAACGCGTCGTTCACCTTGTAGGCCAGGTCGCGCGCCACCTTCTGCTGGGCGTCGGTAGTGAGTGCTCCAATGTGGGGCGTCACGATCACGTTCTCGTGACTCACGAGCTTCTTCCAGGCGTCCGAAGCAGGTGACGGTGCAAGGATATCGAAGGCCATACCCGCGACTTTGCCGTTCTCAATGGCTTCAAGTAGAGCCTGATGGTCGATCAGACCGGCGCGCGCGCCGTTGATGAGCTTGACGCCGTCTTTGCAGAGCGCTAGACGCTGCGTGTTCACGAGGTGCTTAGTATTGGCGTTGAGCGGCACGTGGAGAGAGATGTAGTCACTGCGAGAGAACAGTTCGTCTAGAGATACAGGCTCAATGCCGTGTGCCTTGGCACTAGCATTGGACAGAATGGGGTCGTAGCCGACGACGTTCATTCCGAAGGCGTTGCAGCGCGTGGCCACCTCGCGGCCGATACGTCCGAGGCCCACAATACCCAGCGTCTTGCCGTGGATCTCCGAGCTGCGCACGGCCGCCTCGGACGCGGCGTCGCCGATGCGGGAGACGGCTGAGATGAGCCCCACCGTGAGCTCAGCGGCCGAGATAGTGTTGCCGAACGGCGTGTTCATGACCAGCACGCCCTGCTTGGTGGCGTTCACCATGTCGATGTTATCCACGCCCGTGCCGGCGCGGCCAATGAGCTGCAGTTTCTGCGCGGCGTCCAGAACAGCACGGTCCACCTTAGATCCAGAGCGCACGATAAGCACGTCGTAGTCAGGAACCTGTGCCACCAGTTCGGCGTGTGAGAGGGCAGTGGAGACGGCCGTGACGTCGTGGCCGGCGGCGCGCAGCAATTCGGGGCACACGGGGTCGATGGGGTCGCTGCACAAGACACGCGCCATGGCGGCCGGCGAGCGATGGAAGCTGCGGGTAGCCGACGGCGTCTGGATCTGGAGCAAGCGAGACCCGCGCGTCCACAGAGCGCGGCGCAGCATGGAGCTGGAGAGGAGCGGGTACGTGTGGGGCAGGCGAGTTCGCAAGTGGTCGGCTGTGGCCTATTGATGATCCATTCATGCAAATCTTGAGTCACTTGGTGTTTGAAAGACAGGATTTCCACCAATTGCCGATTTTACGTAGGTATTTTCAGCCAGTCACTTTGCAGTTTTTTCTCTGAGTAATCGCAGAGATCATGCTTTGGCCGAGAACCACGAGATTTTTTTTTGTCAGAGACGAGGATGTCAAGTGCGTGGCAAGTTGTAAAACTCTTGCCATTTTGCAGCATGTAGTAATTTGCACCACCATTTTCAGTTGCTTGAAGCAGCAAAGATCACGTAAAGCAGAAGGCTGCAGCCTACCCGCAGGTTAATACCATGGTAGTCTACAGATAAGGTTATGCAGTAAGATACTAGTCTACCAGGACACCGATGTCCAAATGAACAACTGGTTTCAAACAGATGCGTCTGATTAACCTGGACGACCTAAAAACTAAAACCTGCAATGCCTGTGGTCGGCATAGACGATCGATGCTGCCGGCTGTGGGCAGGGATGGAAATCAATGCGGACAGGGGGTTGTAAACCAAGTATGAACGCCTCAAACCTCCACTAGAGCTGAAGCCATTCTTCAAAACGAAAGGCAGCAGTACAATCAGTATTCTCCAGTGTCTTCACTACACTCAGGCCTTCTGTAACCATGTCGGGGATGCATCGATTCAAGAGTCTATATGAAGACGACTCGTGCACTGGAGCGCCAACCGGTGTCTACGCTAGAAGACAAAACGACTGCGAGAACCAAGTCGGCTCCGGTGGTGCTGCATGTGACGCTGTCTACGATAGTGACGATCTTCTGATTGGGTATGTGGAGGATAGCTGTCACGATGGTCGCGGCGCCGGTTTCAGCGCACTGTTCGACGGTGAAGCCTACATGGCTTTCGACTATTACTGGGAAGACGACTGCACCAACTACGACAATTCTGCTGCATACCGAGCCGGCGGCGATTGCGAGGCAATGATCGTAGACGACAAAACAGCTAGGAGTGCTACACTTTCTGTCTCGAGTTCGGGCTTGGTGTGGACTCGAAACATGGGCCCCATCGCGACGTCACTTGGATGCCCTGGTGAGGGTGCCCCTGGTTACTACGAGTTTGACGTCCCCAAGTCGGATATTAACACGGGTGCGTGCAAGAATTTCAAAGATATCGGGGGTGCATTCTCCTTCTACGATATATCCGATCCTCCAATCCCAACCACGTCCAAAGCCACATCGACTACTTTATCACCAACCGCCACCCCTGCTACGTCACCACCCACATCATCAACCCCGTCGTGGGATGCCACCAGCAACAGCCAGGGAAATTCGAGCTCTACACCGTCGTCCGGCTCGACCTTGCCTCCAACCACCTCCGGATCCAATCTGGATGGTTCCAGCTCGGGGTCCCTGTCATCAACTCCATCGCCATCAACTTCTACTGGACGTGGCCTCTCTGTTGGAGCAGTCTCTGGAATTGGTGGCGGTGCTGCTGTCCTGGTCGTGGTGATCATTCTGTTGGCGTGGTGTATCGTGAGGCGAAACAAGAAGACCAAGGAAGCTGATTCAAACTCACTGCAAGAGCCGTTCCTAGGAAGAGGTAGTGCTTGGACTGGTGGTACCACCGATGGTTCGGATATGTCGTCCTTTGGTCCAGGTCTCTGGAACGATGACAAAATTATCGCCACTCGCGTTCCTCGTGATCAAGTGGTTTTCGAAGGTCTCATTTGTCGCGGTGGATACGGAGAAGTGTATCGCGGCACTTATAACCACAAACCAGTCGCCATCAAAATGTTGCTTCCCGACATGCGAGGTGATCTGAGAAAGGTTAATGCTTTCCTAGCAGAGGCTAAGTTGATGGCCAGTCTTGCCCACCCGCACATTGTGCAATTCGCTGGTGTGTCGTGGGCTTCTCTCTCAGACCTGTGCGTGCTATCGGAGCTGATGAAAGGTGGAGATCTGCGGTCCCTATTGCAACAATTCGAAGCTCAAGGCCACCCGCAAGGCATTGACGACGACAAAATCCGCATCGCGTACCATGTTGCTCAAGCATTAACGTATCTCCACTCGCTCTCTCCGGTCGTGATTCACCGCGACTTGAAGTCGAAGAACGTGTTGCTTACAGAGAATTTGGATGCGAAGCTCACGGACTTCGGTATCTCGAAGGAACAGCAGGATAACACAATGACCGCAGGTGTTGGGACGATGCTGTGGATGGCACCAGAGGTCATGATGGCTGAACGATATACCGAGAAAGCCGACATTTTCTCGTTTGGAGTGCTTCTATCAGAGCTGGATCTGCATACGTTGCCGTACTCGCACGCCATGCGCGATTCGGTGACAGGTAAAAAGTTACCTGGTGCGGTCATTATCCAGAAAGTAGCATCTGGTGCTCTGCAAGTCGAATTTTCGCGCTACTGTCTAGATTCGATGGTAGAGTTGGGTAAGGAGTGCATTGCGCTGGATCCAGCAGCTCGACCATCTGCTCCGATGATTGTTTTTAGGTTGCAGACGATCATGAAGGGATCCTTCGGTGAAGGATACGTTATTTAGATGTGCTATGGATTCCCACCAGTCTTAGTGTCGTCTAGTTCGGCTGCTGGGCGATTTCGTTCTGAACAGTTCAAAGCACTACATGTAGTTCATTGGTGTGGCTCTTGGTATGGTACCATCAAATAATACAGTGTGTTTTTTTATTGTTAATTTGGTTTTTTTTTTGTTTTTTTTTCCTATAGAAGCCTTGTAAGATACAATGCGCGACTTGATGTCGTTACCTAGTCGAATCTGGTCATAATACAGTGTTTTGTTTACAGAACTCACCGCAATTAGTGCATGTTCATAATTAGCGACATACGCGAATTAGTGTCACCGCTATTCAGGACCTATTCGAAGTTTGAACGGCGTGAATAACTTTGATTGTCGGCGTTTTGGAATTTGAGCCTCTGCGGAATTCTTTCGTTGAGTTTATATGAATTTAACTTTACTTGTAAAAGCACACCGAACTAACATGTAAATACATGCCATGACCGAATACGATCCCTAAAATCTCTTATTAATCCGAAACGTGAGCTCAAAGGGTCATACGCGATCAATGCGTGAGCTCCTGATTTCACAATTCACGAAGTACCCACCGGATGCGACCTTTTGGGGGAGCGATCTTTTCTCCAAAAAAAAAGGAAGCACAACTTACCGCTAAGAAGCTATCGGTGTTATCGACACCACTGGTGGGGCTGCTGTCATGGCTATAAGCCAGGTTGGTCAGCTCATTCACCAAAAGGTAGACCGACAAACATCCACCACTGACAGTCGGAAAATTGACATTGGAGCTTAATCCCGATTTGTCGGGATGTATCGCTTCACAAGCATCTACCAAGACTCATCGTGCGATGGAGCACCATCGGGTGTTTTCGTTCAGCAGAAGAACGATTGTAAGAACCAAGTTGCATCTAGTGGATCTCGCTGTGCCGCCGTGTACGACGACACCAATAATCGTGTCGGTTATGTGAACGAGATGTGTCATGAAGGACGACGCGAAGAGGGTTTCATCGAGCTCTTTGGTACGCAGCCTTTCATGGCATACGACTACTACAGGGGTTCGGACTCAACATACGAGAATTCAGTTGCCTATCAACTTGCTGGCGAATGCATGAAACTGTACGATGGCTATTCACCGTTTGGGAGCGGTACTATTTCGATTTCGGATGGGTTTGTACTATGCATGTCAAACAAGGGAAACACTAGCAGTAGTGCACTTAACTGTCCTGGTGCGAGCGGCCTCGACTACATCGATATTGAAATTCCTGTCTCGGAGATCAACCGCTGCTATAATGCACCCAACGTGGACGGTGCATTTGTCTTTTATAATAGGATCTCCACAGTGGAGTCCTCCAGCTCCAGCTCGGGTTCGTCGATCACGTATTCTTCAATTGGAAGCGGACTGGATGTTGGATCGGAGGAGGAATTTTCTAGCTCAGGTAATGGCTCCGTATTCGGAGATTTTAACTCTGGTTCGACAGCAACCAACCCGTTAGGCTCTAGAAGCAGGTCGGACTCGTCTTCAAACGAAAGAGGCCTTGATGTTGGATCGACAGTAGTTGTTACCATCGGTGCTGTTGTTGTCGTCGTGATCATCATTTGCATCACGTGCGTTTTCCTGAGAGTACTCCAGGGTAAAAATCTCACTTCTCGTTCATCGTCACAAGACGCATTACATAGAAATGGTACTGCTGGGACTGACAGCCCTACCGATGGATCCACGAGAGATTCCAATCTCTGGGATGACGATGCCATCATTGCTACCCGTATCCCCCGTGATCAAATAATAATCGGAACTATGATCTCTCGTGGTGGATTCGGAGAGGTCTACCGGGGACAGTATAACAATCAAGACGTCGCCGTCAAGATGCTGTTTTCTGAAATGCGGAAGGATCTTAAAAAGGTGAATACCCTTCTGGCCGAAGCGAAAATGATGGCATGTTTCGATCACTCCCGGATCGTAAGCTTTGTAGGCGTGGCTTGGGGGTCGCTAACCGATCTTTGTGTTGTGATGGAGCTTATGAAGGGAGGGGATCTCCGTGCGTTGTTAAAAGAATTCGAAGCGAGAAAACACCCTCAGGGCATTGACGACAGTAAAATCTGCATCGCTTCTCATATCGCCCAAGCGCTTACTTACATGCACTCGTTGTCCCCGGTCGTGATTCACCGTGACCTGAAGTCGAAAAATGTGTTGCTCACGGAGGACCTGGAAGCGAAAATTACTGACTTTGGCGCTTCGAAAGAACAGCAGGATCAAACAATGACCGCAGGAGTTGGTACCATGCTATGGATGGCACCGGAAGTGATGATGGCAAAGCGATACTCTGAGAAGGCCGACATCTTCTCTTTCGGCGTTCTCTTGTCTGAGTTGGACTTGCACACGCTGCCATACTCCCACGCCAGAATTGATCCGGAAACCGGCATGAAGCTGCCGGACGCGGTTCTTATCCAGAAGGTGGCGTCGGGCGATCTGAGGATCACATTTTCGCCCTACTGCCTAGACTCTATTGTGAAATTGGCGGAGGAATGCGTCGCGCTGGACCCGGCAGCTCGACCTGGAGCCCCGATGGTAATGTTCCGGCTGCAAACGATCGTGAAGGAGTCATCCAGCGAAGGCTACCTCAGTTAGGAGTCGTGCACAATGAAAGTGTTACAACAAGCACGGTTTGAAAGCACCGATACACGTATCTCCTAAAATGTTGGTTTAAACGAACCGAGTATGAAGAGATGCAGCAAAACGTCAAAGGAAGTTCTTTTCAACCTACATGTACTACTACAAACGAATTCAATTGCTGGATACGTTTGATAAAATAAGTTGATGTGCGTTTCTTTTTGCAAATCGATCCGTATTTAATAAGTAGCAACAGTACCGTACTCTACGATTTGAAAAAAACCTCCTATATCAAATATACTACCCTGTGGGATCTACTGCCAAAGAACTGCCAAATAAAATGAAAAATCATAAACCTCACTATATAATCCGATATCCTATCTTACAGAAAGTTTGCGACGATTACCCATCTCACAAGGATAATTGGCTCGCGTTTCCAAGCAGACTGGTGCTTGGGGGCGATTGCAGTATCATTCACACATCCAGCAAGTTTCCCCATTCTTAAGATGTTGCGTCTTTCGCGTATGAGCATGCACATGACCCGCCCAGCCAGCGCTGTAGTGCGCGCGATGAGCACATCCAAGCTGAGCTTGGAACAGCTCGCAAAGCGCCAGAGCCTGAAGGGCGCGCGTGTGCTGGTGCGTGCCGACCTGAACGTGCCACTCAAGAAGAATGCCACCCCGGCCACTATCACGGACGACACTCGTATCCGCGCCGTGCTGCCCACACTCAAGCTGCTGCAGGGTGCAGGCGCGCGTACTGTGCTTTGCTCGCACATGGGCCGTCCCGGTGGTGAGGTTAAGGACGAGCTGCGTCTCACGCCGGTCGCCGCGCGTCTGGGCGAACTGCTCGGCAGCCCCGTAAAGAAACTGGACGATTGCATCGGCTCCCAAGTGGACGCCAGTATCGACGAGCTGCAGGACGGCGAGATCGTGTTGCTCGAGAATGTGCGGTTCTACAAGCAGGAGACCAAGAACGACCCTGAATTCGCTAAACAGTTGGCCCACAACGCCGACATCTACGTCAATGACGCCTTCGGAACAGCCCACCGCGCCCACGCCTCGACAGAGGGTGTGACGAACTACATCCAGACTAACGTGGCCGGGTTCCTCATTGAGAAGGAGCTAAAGTATCTTTCCGGCGCCGTGGACGCCCCCGTGCGTCCGCTCGGTGCCATCATTGGCGGCGCCAAAGTATCCACCAAGATCCCCGTGCTCAAGTCGCTGCTGCAAAAGTGCGACAAGATCATGATTGGCGGTGGCATGATCTTCACGTTCTACAAGGCACAGGGTCTGGACGTCGGCAAGTCCATCATCGAAGAGGACATGGTCGGTCTCGCCAAGGAGATTCTGGAGGAAGCCAAGCAGCGTGGCGTGCAGATTGTTCTCCCTACTGACGTTGTAGTTGCCGACAAGTTCGAGGCCGACGCTCAGTCGAAGGTCGTGCCCGTGAACGCCATCCCCGCTGACTGGCTGGGCCTGGACATTGGCCCGAACTCGCAGGATACGTTCGCCAAGGAGCTCAAGCAGTGCAAAACGGTTGTATGGAACGGACCCATGGGCGTGTTTGAGTTCCCTGAATTTGCCAAGGGCACGTTCGGTGTGGCCAAGGCCCTTGCGGAGAGCACGAAGGTTGGTGTCACGACCATCGTGGGTGGCGGCGACTCTGTGGCTGCGGTTGAGCAGGCAGGCCTTGGCGTCAAGATGAGCCACATCTCCACTGGTGGCGGTGCCAGCCTGGAGCTGCTCGAGGGCAAGGTGCTTCCGGGTGTTGCCGCTTTGAACGATGCTTGAGAGTTATTCGTAAAAAAAAATAACGTGATGCAGCAGATTAGAAAGTGACTCGCCTCACTCACACACTCTTCAATGCGAAGTATTGAATTATACTGAAGTGGCTTTATCCTTTGGACGTAGGAGCTGTCCTATCGTCGCGACTAATGTAAAATGCATCGAGCATTGGACTTTTCGCGGTTGCAGCTCTACTTTAGTGCACTGACCGATTACGCTGTAAGTTGATCGAGAGCAGCACCTCGAAACACGATCGGCAGTTGGTCAGGTTGGAGAATTCACTTGGCTAGACTTGAAAAGATGTTAACGACTCTGTGCCATGAGAACAGCAAACAAGTACAGTAATGCTACATGTTTACATGAAGTTGCGTTGCTTGTCTTCGAGATTTAAGACAACACCGAAGTCGGCCCTGTTCCACTATTGCGACGCGATATGTCAAAATAGGGTTTTACACGAAATAAGTACGTCGCTAACTACTGCGTCACGTCTGCATGCTTGCAAGCGTTATCAACAGATCCAAAACACCTCCTGATGGGCCTTAACGGCACCGTCAGTGATTCACCAACAAAACACACAAGCATCTCTGCCAATACTGCATCGATCAACTTGCAGTCCATATTGCGCCGGCCGTTGCCGGTGGACCCGATTGAAACACCCAACCTTCAAACTTGTCTTTCGCGTCGTTGCCATACCTCACATTACACACGCGATTCCTTCTCGTTGCAGTGACCATTTGTTTTCCCGCGTTTCCGCGTCCACATCGAGTTCGCTGGGTGTTTTCGCGTAGCCTGGCAACTCCAGAGGGTGTGTCGATGGGGTCACTCACGCCTGGGTGTCTTTCGTGCCGGCTAAACTCTCTTCGACAAAATTGGTCGAGAGACGACAGAACTCTGTCCAAGAGATAGCCCCTGGAGCGAGCGTCTAGCTGTCAATGGCGTCTGGATGCTGCTCGACAGGTGTTTCAGGCGCCGGCGTTAGTAACTAAGCCTTGAGTAACACTGAATGAGCAAGTGAGTCAAAGGCTCGGGCAGTAATGTTCAAGCGAGAGATCATCGATCCAAGAAGGAAGCTCGACCCCAAGTTCGGGCCAGCGACGGTCGATTATTCTAGAACTGCGGCTGGACTATCAATTCCAGGAGCGCAGTGACGGCATCACCAGCGCGAGAGAACTGACGGTTCCAGGATTGCTTCGTGCAATTGCAACCTCACGCGCGACTCGCGTGACTTGCGTGCGTGAGAGCGAACACGCGAGCTATACGCATTATAGGCCGAGTCACACGTAGAACCTCGAGTCGTTCGGCCACAGTCGTCGAGCGGCGAACACCGGCTATTAATCGATAAGCCTTTCCCCATCTTGGTGCCGGGATGGCTGATCGTGTTGCTAAACCTGTCATGCTCGACGCGCTTGCCTCCATCGAGCCGACGAAAGTGCCATCCATGTGTACGCACCATAGTCGCCCGTGCTGGGGAAACGAGTGGGTGAGCTGCGGGCGCGTTGCCGGCGGCACCATGCCTGTTCGACAAAAGAGCCATCGAATAAGAGTCAAGTATCCAAGTGGAGTGCAACGGTGCGCTGCCTCCTCTCCGGCCGTGCAGCGATCATAAAGACGAGCACCTTGGCGCATTACTCGCGCTCCATGTGTTATCATCGCTGGTCTCCGCCAAACCGATCTACTGCAGCAGCACCGATTTAATCTCTGCTACTCTTAAGAGCCCTCCATGTAGTATGAGTGTCCGCAGGCCTCTGCGGGGAGAAATTTATCGCGGGCCGTGATTGAAAGTCACCGTTGATCCACCGCGAACTCGAAGTGTTCAGACAGACGAAGCAAAGGTCGGACCTTCGACTGGAACTTCAACATACATGTTCCTTGTTGTAAACAGGAAGTTGTGTCGAAATCGGGCGAAGTGCTCTCTCTGCGGCATGGCAGCGCTGATTTGCCTCGCCGCGCCGCCCGGATCAAGTTCACAAAATACCACTCGATTCGCACGTTGCGAAGCGTGCTCCGATACGATGGCAGAAAGCCAGCGACGGCGGCAGCCAGGCATGAGTCCACAGATCGGACAGAGACGCGGGGGGCGGAAGATGAAGTGCTACAACGCCAGTCACTGCAGCGATCGACTTGTGGCTCAAAGCCGACGTCTGACGGAGCCCGGGCTCGTACGGACATGCACAAGCCGGCGAGGAGCGTCATGAAGCTCAGCAATCGTAGTGGTCAACCGCTCCACGGCGATTACACGGGACACTAAAAGGCGTAGGGTGAATACATAGTAGTCTGCACAGCTCGAAGCTTAGCTCTCGCCAGTTGCGCCTGCCATGGAGCTTCGATCGCATTCGCGACCCGCATACATGTGTGCTGAAGTTTGTGTTAATTGCTGCCGCAATGAGCTGAGTCTTCGAACGAAGTCAACACTCGCCACACCACTCTGATCTGTCCATCGAATGTTAGCTGTCCGTTCGGCGCTCGTCGTTGAGCGGGGCTGTAGCTCGAGTACACGCAAAAAGGAAGGCCCAGCCAGACAAACGCGGTCGATTGCTCGCTACGTCAAGTCGCGTCCAAGGATCCAGCGACCAGAACGAGCGCCGGTGCCGGCGGAGCACTGGACTGGAGTCAAATATCCGCGTGCAGCACTAATGCGCCAGACTTTCTTCTCTAAACAGCCGCCGCCATTGACAACGCACTCGACTGTTGTGCAGGCACTAGAGCTCCAAGTGTCCCCGTCACTTCGACAGCAACAACAACCGCGCGCCAGCCGAAGCAACAGAACTCCGCAAAAAGTGCAACGGCAGGGCGCAGGCTCTTTCCTTGCACCGGTGCACAAAACGCAGTCCGGCGCCGGCGCCGGTCCAGCACAAGGGGGGACCATGACGGTCACCATCCGGAGTCATTCGAGATTTTCACTCTCCAACCCCATCTACTCGTCCCGCGTAACACCGGAGCGAGAGATACAACCGCTTCAGTAGCTCTTCCGGTCATCGGAATCCTACTACACCCGCGCCCCCCACGACTTAGCGTCGTACATTCCTCCCAAGCTTCGCCTTAAAACAGCAGCTTCCCACCCCCAACTCGTAGCTCGTCACTTGATGAACGCGAGTACAATCCCTTCATTTATTACCGACCACCCCATCCACCAGAAGCAGCATCTCGCTATCCCGGACTCGCCGTCCGCTACTAGCTACCCTGTGCTTCCTCAGATACAGTACCTGCACTCGCCGCTGACCAAAACCCTGGCTCGCCCAGGCGGGGAGCCCGCCAAGCTACCCATGGCGTACGCTATGGCGGGCGGCCGCTTCGACTCCAGCACGTCGAGCGACGACGATGAGAACGTGGACCGCAGCAACAGCTTCGTGCACAGCAGCGGCCACGTAGCCTCGCCGCCTCGAAGCTCCGAGGACGGTGAAGTTGAAGCGGTCAGCGGCATCGCCGCCATGAGCCTTAGCTACATCATCAACGGAGAAATGAAGCAGGTCACACAGGACGACGATGACAGCAGCAGCAGCACCGGCGGCAGCTCGCGCGGCGGCTTCGACCTCTCGTCCATGCTCAACACGGTGTGTGCTAAGCCGGACTGCTACCGTACCATCCGTGGCCCGAACGGCACCTTCTGCAAGTACCACAAGCAGAGTCGCTTCTGTCGCGCCGAAGGCTGCTCCAAGAGCGCCAAGACAGGAGGTTTCTGCATCTCGCACGGAGGTGGTAAGCGTTGCGCGCACCCTGACTGCAACAAGAGTGCCAAGCAAGGCGGTCTCTGCATTTCGCACGGTGGTGGAAAGCGATGCAGTGAGGCAGGCTGCACCAAGTCGGCGCTCGTGGGAGGCTTCTGCTCAGCCCACGGCGGTGGCCGTAAGTGCAAAATGCCCGAGTGCACCAAGACAGCGCTTCTGGGAGGACTGTGCATTGCGCACGGCGGGGGAAAGCGCTGTCAGGTCGAAGGTTGCTCCAAGAGTGCTGTGGGAGGCACGTTGTGCGTCTCACACGGCGGTGGCAAGCGCTGCCAGGCTGAAGGTTGCAACAAAGGTGCTGTGCGGAACGGTGTGTGCATTCGCCATGGAGCGAAGCGCGACCAGCCGTCGGTGACGCCCTAAACAAACAAAAAGGCTCCCGTGAGCCTGGAGCTCGGTTGGGCGAGCTTCAATAGAGGATGACGGAATCGTAACGCGGTTGCCATCGGAAGTGGCCGCAATACATTTTGTTCACATCCCGTACATATTCTTCATTCGAAAATACTGCGCCAAAATGCCTTGTATGCTCTTGCGGCAAAGGATCTGTCGATCTTCCAGCGATGAGAAGCTGCAGCGATATTTTCTTCAACTCGCTTCAATGCATCAAGCAACTTACAACAGGCACTTACATTTACTTAAGTAAAATCCCTTAGAAAATAAATCAAACTGAAGAGCGCGAATTGCTGCTCTGGGCGCGAGATTCCTGCACTCACTTCGAGATGCAACATTGTACCCAAGTCATCAATTGGTCAACGGGTCTTCTAATTCTTCACTCACTTAGCCAAACCGTTTGATGCGCACCTGTATCTGTTGTCGACAGAGGGGGCAGTGTGAAAGGAACTCGCTGCACTTTTGACACGTCTCGTGGCCGCATTGAAACACCGTGTTCTTCATTCTCTCCTCGCAGATGGAGCACAGCAACGAGTCTTGAAGTCTTGCCAGCTCTTCCTCGGCTACGGACGTGCGATGCTGCAACGTCGGCCGTGTCGACTCGTCAGAACCGAAAAGCGGAGCTGATGGTGATGTCGTTTGACCGCATTGCATCGTTGTCGTTGTACTATTGCCCGCCTGTGCCTGTTGCGACTGTGGCTGAAAGACACCGTAATTGTGGCTGTGGTGGACGTTCTCAATAGGTTGCGGCGGCGGGAAAACGTCTACACGCGGAAGATCGGGTTGTACCCTGTTTGATCTGCGACCCAAGTAGTTCATCGCCTTGATTGTGCGATATTGATCAGGTATCTCCATCAACGCCTGGAGCGCAAATTGCGTCTCTTTCATCTGCGGATCGCTGAATCGCGAAGTGATTTTGTGATATTCAACGAACTGGAAGTTGTCAAACTTCCTGTGCACGAGATAATTGTCGAAATAGATCATAGATTCCCACGGGCCGTCACCGACGCCTACCATGACGATACTCAGAGGAAAGTTACTGGCATACGTGATGGCGTCGATAGTCTCCTTTTCGTTCTTGCTGACGGCATGCGGTGGGATATCCACCGAGCGCGTGACTTGTCCATCAGCAATAATGACGAGGATATGATAATCTCCCGTGCGATTGACAATGTTGACGGCTTCATTGATAATGGGCGCAAAGGACGTGGGCCCCGCCATGACCACGTTGCGCACGACTTCTCTGTAGCGCGAGCGGATGTTCTCCAGTGGAAAGCCAGCCTGGCCTTGCCCCGCAAAGGTAAACACTGCGCGGTCGCACGTTAACTCGTCTCCGAAGCCATACACCGGGATGATATTGTCCTCGTCTGCACAACACGCAAGCAACACAGTCGTTAAGAGCCCATCCAGTCCACAATCTACGCTGTTTGACCCACCAAAGTCCCGCAAGGTCCGTCCGACCGTCTCAATCACGTCCTCGTACGGGTTGTAAGTGCTCGGGTCGTCGATATCGTGAAGACTGCGGCCGCTGAACGTTCGCTTGCCGCTCCACTCGTTGGACTTGGTGCCTGTCATCACAACGCAATTATTTACTTCAGCAACTATAATTTTTTTTCTACAAAATTATAGGCGCACAGTCGATGCCGATGATGAGGTTGCAACTCTCGAGACCGCTGCTTCTCAGCGCCTGCGTCACTTGGGGCAGCGACGTGAACTGGTCCGGGATCATCTGCGTGAGCTCGGTGGAGCGGCCGGGAATGGGGCGCGGACCTGTCTCCGTCGTGGAGCGCGACTTCCGTCGGTGCTGCTTGCTCGGCTCGTTGCCCATGCTGTCGTTATGTTTTCAGGGAATCTGTAAAATGAGTCTGTTCGTTCTTTAGGAAAATGGAGCCAACAAAGTAAGTTCACAAACATTCTATTTTCTGATAACGGGTACTAAAATCCGAAAATAAGATTGTGGGTACACTTGGATATTTCGATAGTCGAGCATCTTGTGCTTCAGTCGGCTAGGTTACTGAAATGCGCCGCCTGAATTCGCTTTGGGGTCCAGCTGGACCGCCAGACCATTGTTTCGTGGTTTAATGGGAGTATTTTCAGTGTGCCCTTGGACAGCGCCACGGCATTATCCATTCAGTTGGGTCGGTTACGCTTGTCCACTTCGGAGGGGATAAGATGCAAGATAATCTGTCCTAATTCTTAATTCAAAAGAAGTAACCAACAACTAGAACCACTAGTGGTTACCAACCACTGCCTCTTTGTTTAAGAAACTGCACCCTTCTCTTCCATTGTTCGAGAACATCCATGCACAGTTATTACACCGCAAAGCGGGTGGGTGGATATCATGACTTGTTGGAGAAGCTGACGCTGTCAACTCCGCACCGCTAGTTATTATGTAAGACATCTCTTCGGATCATTAAGAAGGGCGTCTAACTCGTCCTCTGGCGTAGTTTATCGGGATTCCATTGTAGCTCATCGACATTCCCTAAATATATTGTGTGCAGGTTTTCTATCCATCTCGACGACGATAAATTCAATCCGCCTACAGCACACTCGCGGGGTCCCTAGGGTGGGCCAGTTGCTGCTGCGCCGCTGCGTCAGACTTGTGTTCACGTTGCCGGTACATCTGCTCTTCTGCTGCTTGTTGCTCCCGTAGCAGCTTCTTCTTCCGGTGCCGCTCCTTGCGCTCTTTACGCTCGTCGAACACCTCGATCCCGACGAGTCCCAGCTCGCAAAGTCCGATCACGATGGCGCTACGCAGCTTGGGGCCCGAATAGAGCGTCATCTTAAGCACGGATTTCAGCACGACAGCGTAGAAGATAGCGACGACCAATGAGGCCAGCATGAGGTTGTATTTGTAGTTTCGTGCCTTGCGCAGTCGCTTTATCTTCCAGCAGAAGAGGAACTTGGCGAAGTAGACGAGGAACCAGGCGAAGGCAAAGGGTGTCGGGTAGAAAATGTAGATCCACTGTAGCAGTCGTTGGTTCTCGTCCAGCTCGCCTTGAGTGTACTTGCTAGCGACGAAACTCGCGGCGTGTGTCGTACCGGCGCCAACGTCGAAGAAAGCCACGACCACGGCAAAGATGGCGAAGAACGTCAGAGACGCGTACAGCCACCGGTAGAAGCGCTTCTGGTGCACGAACCCCCAGTAGCCGTCTGACACCGTCAGCATGTTGCGGATGCGGCGCCGCTTCCCCATGGTGTCTGGTGATCAGCGGTGGCTTTAGCAATAGCCCAACAGTTTGTTGTCGCCTTGTGTTCTGAGCAGAATGTATATTTTTTTTAGCAGGTTTTACTAAGTACATGAATCATTTCATAGAGGTCGTTAAGTGCGGATATGTGACGTCACACAACGGTTCTTGATGCGCATCATCTGAGGCCTCCATAATCGCCCCACGCCCTCCCCCTCCGCCATTTATTTCTCCGCTGATCTCCACCAAGATGGCTGACCGCGTGCTCGAGCTGCTAGCGCCTGTGCAGGCGGCGCTGGAAGCGTCTCCTTTGGCTGTGAAGATTACGGCGGCTGTTGGCTGCCTGGTGTTGTCTCGCCTGGCGTTGCAGGTGCTCGGCTCGGTGTACACGTTCTTCCTTCGTCCGGCCAAGAGCCTCAAGGGCTTCGGCCAGTGGGGCGTGGTCACGGGTGCCACGGATGGCATCGGCAAGGCGCTGGCCATGGAGCTGGCGCGCAAGGGAATGAATGTCGTTTTGCTGAGCCGCACTCAGAGCCGCCTAGAGGCCGCGCGCGACGAGATCCTGGCCAAGTACCCCAAGGTGGAGGTGGAGATCTTGGCCGTGGACTTTAACCGCGTGGACGAGCCCAGCGTACGCGAGGCGCTGCAGAAGAAAATGGACCAGGTCAAGGACGTCGGCGTGCTCTTCAACAACGTTGGCGTGTCGTACGACTTCCCCGAGTTCTTCGATCAGCTCCCGGAGGACCGTGTGGACAGCCTCATCAAGCTCAATGTGGCCGCCACCACCATTATGACCAAGCTGGTGCTGCCTGGTATGGCGCAGCGCAAGCGCGGCGTGGTCGTCAACCTGAGCTCCGGCTCGGGCCGCATGGTCGTGCCGCTGCTCAGCGAATACTCGGCCACCAAGAAGTACGTGGAGCAGCTAACGCTGTGCCTCGCCGCCGAATATGCTGCCAAGAACGTTCACATTCAGTGCCACGTGCCCATGTTCGTGTCTACCAAGCTGGCCAAGATCCGCCACTCGAGCTTCATGGTGCCGTCGCCCGCTACATACGCACGCGCGTCGGTGGCGCAACTGGGCTACGACACGCTCATCTCGCCCTACTGGCCGCACGCGCTGCAGATCTGGCTGTATGAGAGCGCACCCACGTGGCTACTGGCTAAGGTATGTTAGTAGCAGCGAAGGTTAATACGCCATCGTACTCGCATGAAGCTCTCTTCTGACTGACGAACTTTACAATTGCGTTTTTCTCCAGGCCGCCATGATGACCCATCTGTCGCTGCGCAAGCGTGCGCTCAAGAAGCTTGAGGCCAAGAAGAACCAGTAGACGTAGCAACTAGCGAGCACGTGACTCGTCATCTCGTCCCCACGTAAATGACGAGCACCGGTGCACTGTACATGTAGCAGACTGCTTTAGGCAAAACCGTTCTTGCCACACCGACAATAAATGCTACGTGGTCGCTCGCGTGAAACGTTCGGCTTGTCAAACACTGCACCGCGCTCTACAGCCTTTCAAGATTTTTTTTTCATACCTTGGTCACCAACGTATGCGTCCTGTTAGACCGCTCTGGCGCGATGCGCAGTGTTGGCGGCCTCGGCGCGGGAGGTGGCACTGACTTTCGGCGAGCTGCCCGCGCCGTCGTCATTCCATCGCCCCGCGCAGTACTGTCAAGGGCACCGATACACCGTGCCGCGTCGATATCCCGGGCCGCCGGTGTTGGGTAAAGCGCTCGGCAGGAATGGATGGTTGGCTGGCGCCAGTGCCTCGGAGAGATCTTGGGATTCCTCGTCGTCACGCTCATTCGAAACGCTTGGCACCACTGTCCATCTCGGCGGATCTGAATTTGAATGGAACCACTGTTCATATATCTGGAACTTTCAAATAAGACGGTGCCTCAACTCAAATTTGCTGTTTCTTTCTTGCTTGACATCGTGTTGCTGCGCTTGTCTTGGTCTCTGCAACACCAGCAAGCAAGCGCCCCAGAAGAGCCAGCAAGTCGTGAGCAGCGGTTCAAGCATGCGCCAAGAGAAGCTCGGTGACGACCATTTTGTGCGCCGATTTTCCAGCGAGATTGAGCCGGATCACCAACAACGAAGGAACAATTGCCAGGAAAACTTTTTTTCTTCTCTGCGAAGAGCAAAAAACTTTTGAAAAAGATCTTGGCCGCTGCGACGTCGGAAGCAAGAACCCAGCGCTTTGCGCTCTGCGTTGTAGCGGTGCGATACTCACACATGGCGGCCGTCAGCTGACTCCGGTGTTTTGGGTCTGCTGGATATGGGCACCGCCGCAAATTTATCCAGCTGCGTCACCTGACCGTCGGGCTCTCTTCTGCTAGTCTATCCGTCCCAGAAGGCATCATTACCTGTACATGTATGCCTAGAGCCTGTTCACCATGCGCAGTAAGAAGCAGCAGGTGGCGGCATTTCATGTGGGGGCCGTGATCCTAAAAAAATGAATTTGGCGCGCTATTCCGACCCTTCGCACGCGATTTCAAATCTCTAAACCTGTCAGCATTCAATAAAGTGTACTGAATTCCGCTGGATTACTGGGCTCCATCTTGATTTTACTAAGAATTAATTGATTTCCTCACCTGCGTCAATACATTCCCTGCTACATCCGTTACCATCTGCCAAATGTGGTACCGCTGCTGCCCGCCACGACTCGCGCACGCATGTGAAATTGAGAGGCGTCTTTTCTGCCGCTAGCCTCAACGTTGCCAACTCTCTCATAGTTGCTTTTCCATTATCCTGCGCAAGTTGCCCGGAATTAGCCCGCCCAGGTCTGCGCCACAGAAAAGATCATCATGGGCCTGGAGGATCTCAGCGTATCGGGCGCGAACTCGGCGGCCGAGCGCGTCGTGGACGACAAGACCGTCGCGCCCGCCGCCTCCGCGTCCGCCGCGGCGCCTATCGAGTCCGAGGCCGCCGCACTGCGTCGCCGCACATCAATCCCCAGTACATTCTCGTTCGGCGGCGTGGATCATGCCATTCCGACCGCTGACGTGACCCAGCGCCGCTGGCGCAGCTTCGACGCCGCCGTATCCGACGACTCGACTACGTCGTCGGCGCTTGACCAGCTCACGCGCCGCATCCAGCAGGAATCCCAACACGTGCTCAAGCGCAAGGCCCGCCTGTCCAAGCGACGCGAGCTCCTGCGCAGCGTAAAATGTTTGCTCAGTTCCAGTCGCCGCGACCAGGTAGCGCTGCTTCAGATGCAGCTCGTGGCCGAGGTAGCCACGGGCAACCGCTCGCTGGCCGTACTCAGCGACATGCGCACGCTGCTCGCATTAGACGAGGCCGACGAGCTGGCCACGGGGTCACAGCGCCACCGCGGCAGCTTCGCCGCTAGCCAGACGCTGCTGGATGGCATCGAACAGTCGGACCGCGCGCTAGCCGAAGATTGGCTTCGACAGGTGCTACAGCTACAGGCCAGTTATTTGGGCAAGCTCATGGAGCTGCACCGCCAGAAGAGCCTGCAGCCCAATGGTCTGACGCTCCAGCAATTGCTGGAACAGGTGAACAGTGTCACTTCCGCCAAGGACGAGCCCACACTCGCTCTCGTGCGCTTCGAGAAGCTATTGAGTCGCCAGAAACTGCTCAAGCCCGAGCTTAAGAAGGCGCTGGACAAGCTCTGCTTGGATACCATGCGCTCCTTCACGCGCGCGAGCAGCCAGCCCGGACCCAAGACGGTTTTCGACGACAGAGAGCCGCGCGACGTTATGCAGTCGCTGGTGCAGGAGATTGTGAGTGCCGTGGCCGCTGAAGCCAAGCTGGACAAGGCGCAGCTCCCTGCTCTGCGCGTGTTCGTGGAGCACATGGTGTTCAGCCGTCTCGCCTGCGCGTGCTACCGTGGCACCGCGGCCGACCTGGATGAGCTCAATGCTTCGTGGCGTGAACACGCGGCCAAGATGCGCGAGCTGAGCCTCGAAGAAGTCGGAGTGCCGGTGCAAATCCCCCAGGAGGCCAAGCAGCAGGAGATCTTCACCGAGTCCATCGCTGCGTTTAACCAGCTCCCGCACCTGGTGCCCTCCAGTGTGCTGTCGTCCTTTATGCGTGCTGTGTGCACGCTGTACCGGGAGGCCAAGGACGGACTTGGTCTAGATAGCAGTTGCATCTCGGCCGACGTGCTGCTGCCTCTGCTCGTGTACGTGCTGAGTCGCTGCGAACTCCCGCACCTGCACTCGCAGGTGTATCTGATGGAGCAGTACGCCATCGATGAGTCCCAGGACGGGTCCGAGGCCGCCTATTATTTGGCGTGTCTGCAGGCTGCTATGGGCTACATCATGGGCAACTGCACGGCCGACGAGGCCGAAAACCAGTGAGTGACGTGTAAACCCTTCCTGTGGTGTCATGGTCGTGAACAGTTCGACGGAGGCTTCTCCGTCGAGACAAGATTATTTATCCTATTATGTAACAATACAAGCGAGTCTTTTATCGACAAAGCGTGTGTGTTCTGGTTCTCTAAAGGGTAAGTCGTTCATGGAGCACATTATTGTAGCGAGTCGATCCAATGCCGCACATTAGCGATCGCACTCTCAAGATCTGAAGAAGAACAGTTAGTATCAACAGATATGTGGACAGAAAATCCTTGGACTTACTGACGGCACCGCAGCGCTGTAACCAAGGTGACTCAAGCAGGGTATCAGCTGAAGCGCGGTCGAGTGGGTTCTTTTGAAGACAGTGGTGTAGGAAGTCGCAGAAGTCCTGTGAAAAGTACTGCGGTGAGAGTGCTGGCGGCGGTGCTTCCAGTACGCTCTGTAGCATATCGATACACGACTTGTGCTTCGGGTACGGGTAGACGCCCGTAGCGGCCTCCATGAGCACGAGACCGAGACTCCAGATGTCCGAGCTGTAGCTGTACTGCGTGTGCTGAATACGCTCAGGCGACATGTATCGGAAGGTGCCTACGAATGTGCCGCACATGGCTGCAAAATATAAACGTCAAGAGACAGCCAATTGATGAAGAATTCTGAACTCGTACCGATGGAGTTGCCGAGCTCGGAGGCGATACCGAAGTCCGAAAGTTTGACTTGACCCTGACTGTTGAGCAAGATGTTAGGCGGCTTGATATCGCGGTGGACACGCTTGTTAGTCTTGAGATATGACAGTGCGTGGAGGATCTGGTAGGCCACACTGGCCAGGACATGCTCTGGGATGGTACCGAGCTGGTGAATTACATTTTCCAATGAACCGCCGTCCATATATTCCAGAGCGAGCACCACGGCACCGTCACGTAGGAACGCGCCGAAGAAAGTCACGAGACACGGACATTTCGCGTCGAACAGCGCGTTGATCTCCCGGATAATCTGTTCGCGTTTGGTCTTGTCGTACATGTTGATCATTTTAAGCGCCAACGGCGTGTTGGTCGGTCGGTGGCGCGAGATCAGTACGCATCCGCTGGCGCCGCGACCGATTACCTGTCCGCCCCATTCCAGTTCTTCCGGGACGACGCTGAAGGCGCGACCTGTTCCTTTTCGGACGACCCCTGTAGATGTGATAGCATACTTGCCTTTGACGTAGGCGCCGGCACCGGCGATGAAGGAGTTCTCTAGGTTGTTCATGGTCCTGTTTGACGACACCAAGCACTGCGGACGGAGGAGACGATCGAGATCTGATAGCGTCTCTTCCGGTGCCGGCCAGCGATCAAAGATGTTTAGACGGTCGTCTCAGAAGCATTCAAGCTGGCTGCTTTGAGTGCTGCACGCATGCTTTACTGGCCCCTTTGACGTTGACAGACGTTTCGTCGCCGCGCAGACATCCAGAAGTATACATTGGCAATAATAACATGGCATCCGAATAGTACCAGTGATGGCCGTTGTGTACGTGAGGGCGGACCACAAAGCTGATCAACCAGTTGTAGGGAAACGCACGCCCAATGCCAGTTTCATCGTAGCCGTCATGGCGCAGCGTTCTCTGAACTACTAGGACAGACGAAATGGATGTGATTGCCATGTTTGCCATGATGAACGTAACAAGCTCAGCGCTGAAAAGGAGAATTGACAATTGAAGTTGAAGGTGCCCGAATGTGCTCGCCGATATCTTTAGGAGCCACGCCTCGTCTTGGTGGTCTGATGACGGGTATCCGATATCTTTAGGCTCTCCGCGGGTCATGCATGGTACGTGTGTACTTAAGAGCCCAAGCATTGTTTATTTGCCCGGCTTCCAGCCAGAGCTCCGGGATCAAGATGCGCGTGCTCCAGATCACCGGGTTAGTGCTGCTTTGGGTCTGGACCGGGGTTCAAGTCGCGACGGCCGCGTCGTGCGCCGACCAGGTGTCCTCCGGCGACAAGAGCGTCGGCATTTCAGGAGAAGAAGCCCTGGATTGTCCCTCCGCCGGCGGCATTGGTTGCTTTAGTGGAAATATCCAGTGCCGCTTCTGCATGACTTTCAGCACACCGCAGAGCTCGCACTTGGCCGCGTGCAAGACGACAGCTTCGAGTACCTCGACGTCTCCGACTATGACTCCTTCTGTAGCTTCAACGGTGGCTCCGACTTCGGATGAAGACTGCGCTGAAGCCCTCACGGTTGCATGATCCAAGAATTCCCACCACATCTACATCTACGCTTTTACTATTTTATGAGCATTTGAGGCCGCTAGCGACTTGCAAATAGACAAAAATGCATTTCACTTTAAGTTTTCACAGTGTAAAAACAGCATGGCTACACTCGAAGAGTGATGGTCATGCTGGCATTGCATCACTCAATTACCGTAATGCGAACCAACCCGACGCCCACAGCGCCGCTCTTGGTCTCTATTGAGAAGGCATTGCATGTGTATTTCTCTAGCGAATCTTCCGTTCTGGATGCCGAAGACCCCGTCCAATTCCGCTCTCAGATGCTGCTTCACGACAGCGACGGCAGCGCTGATGATACCGAACGTGACGATGAAGTGGCAACACCCGCGACTGTTGATAACACCTTGCTTGGCGTGTCAGGAGAATCGTACACAATGCAGTTGGCAGTGATTCTCCACGCGTGGCATTCGACCGGCACGAACCCGCTTGTATCACTGCCATCCACCACCGAAGAAACCTCAATTGACGGTGTGACTCCCGAGTTCACAAGCCGACAGAGAATTCTAGAAGTCTCAGTAGACGCCATCCACTCGTTCATTACTGCAATCGAAGGTGGTACAGATAAAGAGGTTTTAACAGCAACAACAACACTAGTAGACGAGTTAGGCGGCGCGCGTGGCCTCCTGACCTTGCTGGGGTTCCAGCAAACCGTGGGAAGTCGCACCTTGGCACCGCTCACGCTTTGTCAATGTCTTGCAGCGTTCGCACAGCGTCACACTCCCGGTGAACCGCTCACGGTCGGTGCGAGGGCGTTTAGCAAGCATTGCACCAGAAGTTCGAGTGGTTGGTGGGGTGAGCTGAAGGGGAACGATGTAGCCAAGAACCTGCGAGCTGAGACCAAAGTCCGCGAACTACTTGCTGCAGCTACCTGGAAGAACATCCATAGCCTCCCACACGCTCATGCGACGATGGAAATCCGCAACGCATTGGGGTACGGGGCCCGGTGGGATGCAGAGACTCAAAACTTCAGAGGATTTCTCGAGCCACCAATGCTCAATGGCCATGAGATCAAGTGGCGACACTAGGCGGAATGAGCGAGGAAACATGCAGGTCGAGACGTTATGGCCGTTGTAGCTTGAGACGACGTGAGTCGTTTCACGAATAGCATTGAAAATACAGCGACCAACTTGACAGAGACGTCTTTTTCATCCTTTGAAGCGACTAACATGACACGTACTTGACGTGACACCAAGCGGAGAACGTGCTTGATGCTGGGATCTTTTTGCGATGCAGTGGTTTCGAGCTATCATCGTTATCCTCGCGCTCAAACGCCTTGTCGTTCGGTGGAGTTGCGGTGCAGCTCATTCGCCAATTGGCAGACTGTTTCCTACTCGACAATCTAGGACAACTCCAGTCGTTTACTAGCTGAGAATCGATGCGAGCTCTTCAGGTTTTGAGCGCATTCTTGATGCTGATTGCGCTCAATGCAGGGGCTACAGAAGCTACTACGTGTGCTGACAGGGTGTCGACCGGTGACCAAAGTCTTGGGATTAGCGCAGTGGCTGACGCTTCCTGCACGGCTGGCGGCCTAGGCTGCTTCCCGTACGGAGACCAATGTCGTTTCTGCAGGACGTCTGAATCCAGCGAGGCCACGCATCTGGAGCTGTGCTCTGAGATCCAAGCCTCCGAAACAGAATCGACTCAGAAAACCGAGTCTACGACGAAGACTACACCTCCGCAGGAATCGACAGTTAATTGTCTGTCGCTCGTTTCGGTTGGCGACCAAGGTGTCGGCATCTCAGCTATAGCAGCTACGAATCCAACGTGTGCAGCTAACGGGTTGGGTTGCTTTCAGAGCGGACAGTGCCGGTTCTGCCAGACGAGAGCGACCGCGCAGAGCGCGCCGTTCCTCAAGTGCTCCGACGTTGGCGGGACCAGTACGACACCGACAAGCTCACCGACATCCGCCCCTGTGAACACCCCGTCACCTACCGTAGCCTCGACTAGCACCACCTGCTCTTCGGTTGTGTCGAGATCTGGACTAGAAGGCATTTCGTACGTCTCGGAGAGCCGCTGCAACGTCGCTTCTCCGACACTTGTGGGCTGCTCGGCTCGGACTTCGTGCCGTCTGTGCCGCAACTTCAAGAACGAAGCCAACCAGTATCTCATTAGCTGCAAAGTGCTGAAAGATCAAGGGGCTACTGAAAGCGCGGAGGCCACTTCTTCATCTACTGGGACGGGCCAAACGGAATCGGTCGCTACGAAAGAGTCCCAAGAGGATACGCTCTCTCAGAGCTCCGGCAGTCTCACTGTGACGACGTATACGGGTGATCCGAACCCTGCATCGATCACTACCCCTATTGGAGCCGTTGCTGCGGTTGTAGCGCTTATTGTGGTGGCTATGATGAGCATCATTTACGTTAAGGGCCGCCGTGATGCCGACGACGAGCCCATGACCCCGAAAGATTGTTCAGATGGAGATCTCTTGACCCCCCACAGTAACAATGGCTACACGCCGCGTGAAGGTTCACTCGTGATGGTAGTGAGTCAGTCGTCGATTGCCACTCTTTGAGATGCTAATGGCCTACTCAATCGATGGTATCCTGGGGAGTCTGTAGTTTACAGCACAGTGAATTACCCACCTGTGCTTC